GGCCTTGATTGGGGCTTGGATGATTAATTTTGGTGATTGAGCCTTTTGGATTGTAGATTTGGGCCTTAGTCTTGGACCAAACTAGGTAAGGGGTAAAATGGTATTTTTACCTAATTTTGGACTGATGGTTATGGATTAGAATCTAATTATTAATTGGGTGTTATTTGGTATTAATAGCTCGAGGATTTGTCGGACCAGTAGCCAGAGATTTATCAGTGCGATTCAGCAGTTCGAGGTGAGTTTCCTCACTGTGCTTAACGGGTCGAAGGCACTAATGCCGGCCCATGATATTATTATGTTAGGATGTTTAATATTTGTGTTCCTATTGCATGTGTTATGTACTCGTATGCTTACTGGGTGGGGCCCGATGACCATTTTGTATGCTATGTATCTTTGTGATTATTGCATGTGTATATGTTTATATGTATGTCGGGCGGGGACCAATCTGTATATCGAGCGGGGCCCGATGATGGGCGGTGCCCATTATGTGTTTATTATGTATGGTATGTGGTATCTTGGGGAACTCACTAAGCTTTGTGCTTACAGTTTTCAGTTTATGTTTTAGGTACTTCCAGCTCCAAAAGGAGGAGCCCGAGATGATTGCAGGGCTTAGTGAGTGTAGTGAGAAGACTCACCTCAGTCTGCTGAACATAAAAGTTGCTCGCCTAACAGTTCAAAACCACACACTGAACAATGATATAATTAACCCTAAATTAGGATTATAACACAACCTAATCAAAGAGTCTAAACACCTAAGCCTAAGTCCTTCCATAATGGCACAAAATCCTTCCATTTGCTAATGGGCCTAAGATCCAAGATAAAAGTCATTAATGGACCACATGACCCAATAAGGCCCAACCAAAACAAATATGGCCCAAATTAAAATATCAACCCAAAATTGTAAATGGGACCACGCCCAAAACTGAATAAGGCCCAATAAGCTTACAAGCCCACACAAAGCCCAAACCTAACTGGAGTGCGTACGCCCTGCGTACCACTCCAGTATGCTCAGTGTAGCAGACCCTTAAGCTGTACGCGCTGCGTACATAATATTACGCACGACGTACAAGCAGGACATGCATCAATCGACCATTAAGTGCTTAATACTTGGGATTTCAACGTCAAACTTTAGATCTAAGTCCATTAAGATGTACTGGGGCATAAAGTTGCCAACTTTATGCCCTTTCATGCCATGAGTAACCCCAATACTTCATTCTTCCCATTAAGCCCTCATTTAAGACCTCTAACTTATGCATGGAGTCAAAACAACCTTCAAGATGGCACCTTTATGCATCAAACATGCTCAAGGAGCTTAGATCTAGCAATCCTAATCTCTGGAGTTGCTCAACTCACAAGAGAAGATCTAAAAGCCAAAAAGGGACTCCATAACAAAACCCTAGCTCAAACAATCAAAAGAGATGACAAGGTTACGACTTTACACCTCCAGAAGTTCCTCAAGATGAACTAGATGCGAGATCTAGAAGCTCAATGACACCCAAGGCTTGATCACCACCTTCTCCTTATTGAATGCTCTCTAAAATGGACACCAACACACTTTCTAAGCTCAATAATCACACTCATAAGGAAATATGAGGTTAAGAGACGAAATGAGGCTATGGAGGCTGATTAGGGTTTGGTCAAAAAGACTTAAGGATGTTTATATAGGTCTCAATCCCGGATATTAGGGTTTTGGTCTTCAGTCACGTACGCCCCACATACCCCCTTGGTACGACCAACGTACGTGACGAACCTCCGCGATCAACCATCCTTAGTATGCTAAGCGTACTCCTTAAGTACGCCCAGCGTACGAAGGGACCAAATTTTGCAATAACTTTCATACTAAGGGTAAGAAATGTAAATACCTGGATCCCGACCGTTACAATCAACCAACCCCGTATGTTGTGACAACAAAAGTGTGATGCAGATTACAAAGAATTCTATTTTCCATGAGTAAGCTAATCATATTAAAAATGATCGTCATTTCACTCACCATCATCTCTCGTTTGGAACTGTCTCACTACAATATGTCCCATTAGCCCTGCAGATTGCTGATATTTTCCGTGAGGCTCAACCTTCCTCTTAATTTTGCTATTGTTTAACAAACTCCAAATTCTTATTGCTATTGCATTACGAGATATAGGGGGATGTTAGCATAATTATGTTTTATATTAGGCTTTTTTTTATCCTTTTAACTACGTTAACTCTAGTTTTATTTCCTATTTATAGTCTTGTTTCATTTCATTGTATCTTACTTTGCTCTTAATAATAAAACCTTAGTTGTTTTCTACTTATTTTATATAAATTATGAGTTTATTTATAGTAACACATATATTTACAATCATATACAAAATACATAAGTATATTTTGGAAAGCGTCCCCCTATGTTTGTATATGTCCACACATTCAAACAAGACCTAAACCATGAGAAATATTGTAAGAGGAAGTATCATAAAGATATCGACATACTAAAATTTGTTTAGCACATGAAAAGCTCGGAAATCAGTGACACACATTTTTTTTCATGAACAAACTACATCTTGATTTCCATATTTTAGTTTGTTGGTGTTTGATAGGGGTGTCTTGTAAAATTAATGTTGTACATATCATAATAGTAGTTGTGTGTATATACATGTGGAAGCTCTAAAAAAGGTTATCTATCCAACTAGTTCTAGTAATCGCATTAGCCACCCAACTCGGCTTAAGCACTTGAGCGAAGAGACATACTGTTATTTTCTTAAAGGACTAGTACATCAAGTTGTCACTAAGAAATATGTTAAAATTAGAGGTAGAAAGTCGAGAGTCCAAGCGACACACCTAATTTGTGGCAAAGTAGATCGTAAGGGTGTAAGTATATAGTAAGGGTGTATGGAAAGAATGGTGTGATATGTAGGCCTCAATCGATAATCCCTTTAAGATAATAAACAAATTATCAAGGATTGAAAGTGTGGCTTGTATGATACGTGCATTAACAGAGACATTTGTTGAAATGTATAGGTAATACCTTATGTAACACCAATATTTGAGGGATAAATATTTAATCCTTATCTATTATCATCTCCATTTAATTCATGAAAATTAATTATAAATTTAGGTATATGTGTTTGAAGAATAAAGATGTGAATTAGACTTCCCAAATAATGAAATTTAAGATGTGTAATGGTCAAAGTACATTATTGTTTTTCTTGTTGGGCCTTTTGGTGAAGTTACTTTGCATTTTGCAATGATTTGTTAATAAAATAAAACTTACTCATGAAAAATGGAAGGGAAATTAATCTTTTGGATAAAACTTAAAAAAATAATAATTTAGTGGCTTAGTTGTGAAGTAATGAGAATATTAGGCTAAAACCCTCATAGGTTTTATCATTTGGCCATCATCGTTGGACTAGAGAGGAAGTGAGTGAACTTTAGATAACCATTAGGTGATTTGATTAAGAAAGGGCATTAAAAACCTTCCATCAAAGTTATAGAATATCATCAATGGTAAATCTTTATTCCATCTTATTGTTAAATTGGAGTTTAAGACTAATAATAATGAAATCTCCATCAAAATCATTTATTGGATTTAGGAAAGTATTATGGCATTTTATTCTAATTGTTAACATCAATTATGGTCACTTTGAGCCACTAAAATTAAGTTCGTAGATGATTTATCGGGTTGGTATCAAATTAGTTCCAAAACCACCATGTTTGTTCAATTTTTTTCCCATGGGTGTATTGGTACAGCCGTATGAGGCTTTTCCCAGTTCGTACATAGCCACATGTTAAGTTCAAGGAAGACAAATAAGTTGTACAACCTTACATAGTATTTTATTGCATATTTCCCATATAACATCGTACTTCTAATTTATAGATATACATCATATACTATGTACATATAGTTATCTTGTGCCCTTATATGTGTATCATACAAACATTGGTTTGTGAAAAGAGTTTTCAAGGAAAAGGACACATTTTAAATGTTTTTATTACTTTGAAGGACATTTTAAGATGAATAAATCATTATCATGTTATATTCATTTACATTTGGGTATGGATGGCTTGACTGGTGTGTCCTGAACACTTAGATATCGTTAGATATCTAGAGTACGAAAATGGTGACTGTGATGACATTCTACATCGTCTCATGCTGCTTGGGTCTTGCTAACCTATGTACGACACATATGGTCGTGTTTCATGTGTTACCCAGTTTGAAAATGACTTAGAGCCTTCATTTGATTTGCATGCTTTATGGTAACATGTTTTACTTAGTTGCTACCTAAAAATGAAGTGATGAATATGATGAGATGATTTGGATTGTGTTTTCTAAGTTAATATCATACATTTCATTTATTTGTGCATAATGTACTTTTTAAGTTAAACTTATTTAAGTGTGAAACTTTACGTGTAATATATTCCTAGCCATGTGTTTTGAAGGATGAATGGTCGTTTAAAGAGAAAAAGATGAATGCGTTTGTTTCCTATAAACTATATAAATGTGATGGATTTTATATATCACTTATATGTGAAATTCATGTGTGATTCACTTGGCTTTTCATGCCTAACATACTATTTCAATAAGTAAGGAGTGGTCATAATGATCACGGAGAAGAAGAGGAATTGAAGAGGCATTAGGGATCACTCTCCGTTTGAAAGTAATAAACTATAATATAGACTATAGTGTTATTTTATATTCTCTGGTAGATATTTCCTTATATGTTACTTTAAAATAAGGATAAATTACTGAAATCGTCATGTGGTTTGGTAAAAATTAAGTGTTTGGTCCCTAACGTTTTTTTGCACTCGGATCGTACTTGTGGTATCATTTTATTACGTTTTTTGTTCCTCATCCACCTTTTCAGCTCTTCTAAACCTCTCTTTCACTATATCCCGTCTCGCTTGATTCACTCACAGAGACGAGAGCCGACGTTTACCGAACTGCCACAAGAACTACTAGATTGTGGCTGGAAGTATGAGATATCACTGGAGTAGTATTTTGATGCTTGTGTACTACAAGAAAGAGGATGAATGTCATCATTGATTCACTGCCGGATCTGCACTCTGTTCAATCACCGGATCGCCTCATTGAAATCAACGCCACCATCACAGTGTTCAATCACTGGTTTGATGACAGAGTCGATGGTTCGATTTTAGAATTGATGGTGGCAGTCAGGTTTGGTGGATTTGATTTCAAGTAAGATAGAGGATTTTTATGGGTTTGATTAGTCTGGAAGTTTGCATCAGGTTTGCCTTGGGTTGATTTTTCTGGATTGCATAAGGTTTAATTTTTATTGATTTGATGGATTAGAGTTCAGGTTTCTAGGTTTCGGGTGGATGGTGATGATTATCGGTTCTTTTTGTAGGGAAGGTGGCGGTTCTCGTCGACGATCTACTGGAGGAACGAGTGAAAGAAAGTAAGTTGGAGTTCTGTGTTCATCGAAGCTGATAAAGGAGATGGTGGCACTTGGGATTTCGAGAAAGACGTGGTGGATAAGCAGCACTAGGAGAACATGAAGAGACAGAGAAGAGAGATGTTGATTTCCGATTACAGTGGTTTGGTTTTTATTTCAGGGCAAGTTTTTTAGACTCAGTTTTGATTTCAGGTATCGATTTATGGTTAGGTATTCAATGGCAGACATGGTGGAAGCAGTGGAGGATGACAACGGTGATCACAACTTGAGTTCAACTTTTAGCTATAGTTTTTTTTGGTTGACTTCAGTTATTTTCATTTCAAACTAAGTTCAGTTTTGAGTTTTGTTTTTGGTTACAGGGGAGGAAGACAAAGGGAAAGAGAAAGGAAAGAATGGAAAACAAAAAAGAAAGGGAAAAGGAATGATTTCAATGGCGTCATTAGATTTATGGTGCTCACTGAAGTGTGTTGTTCTGGTGTTCATCGGACTTCGTTACCGGAGCTGAGAAATGGTGAGTGAAGAAAAAAATGCTAGAGGAGATGAACGTAGAAGATGGCGTTGGGCTAGGATAGGGTAGTGGGGAATAGGGAGGGTGGGACCCATATGTTGAAATTAATAAATAATCTATTATAAATTAGAAAAAAAAATTTAAGTAAGTTACTCTAAAGAGGGCAATATAGTCTTTTCATGTATGTGGGGACGAAAAAAGTAACAAAGTGATACCACAAGGACGATCCGAGTGCGAAAAAAACGTTAGGGACCAAACACATAATTTTTACCAAACCACAGGGACGATTTCAGTAATTTACTCTTAAAATAATGACTTTGTTGTTTTGCAATCTTAACAAAATCTATTGTGAACTCCACTAAGACGAAAGCACCAACATGCCTTAAGTTGAATACATTTAATGGTACCACGTGTTATACTCATTTCATTATTAATTATTCCAATGTGTAGTAGTCTTATGTCACAACTAGCATTTTAGGGCTAGGTTTTCCTATTCATGAACAAGATAGTTCTTTGTGTAACTATGTAACACCATGTTTAAATGCGAACCAAACTTCAATTATATATCTGTTTATACATCCAAAACCCTCTTATTGGGCCTAATGGGCCGGTAATCTCCCCACTTGTTTCCTTTGGGCCAAAAATCCACATTTGGGCCCTAGTTGGGCCGAAATTAATTATGCAATAGTATTTTGGGCCATAAGACCTTTAATGGACCTTCCAAGGCCGATAAGCATTATTGGGCCGAAACTTGTTCAATTAATCTCATTGGGCCACGTTTGGGCCGGAAACCTCTTGATTGGGCCAATACCCTTCATGGATCATTTATGGGGGGCCGAGAGCCATTTATTTTTGGGCCTTTAAACCAAAAATACCCTTTGGGCTTATGGTTCTCGGTTACACTTTAAACCCGAGCCCAATATTCCTTTCTTTTCCCCCACCCTAAATCCGATCGGCCTATTTATTAAAAAAAAAAAAAGAACAAAGGTGGGTGTTGACTTTGGGTGACACCTCACCATTGCATGGAAGATACCCATGCAATTTGTTTACCATACTTCTATGAAAAGTAAGAATAACCATCATATATTAACTTCCTTGATCTTTCTCTCTCTCTCTCTCTCTCTATATATATATATATATATATATATATATATTTGCGGTCGAGACCACCACCACCTCCTCTCTCATTTCTCACTTCCAACTCACTTACAACTCTCTCATTTCCCTCTCAATCCTCAAGAAAAACTTCTCATCCTTCACTCATTTCTCCGAAAACCGTGGGTTTTAGTGTGCTTACAAGAAGATTGTCTTCACGAATTGCATACTTGGTAAGTTCTTGACAAACTCCCTAGACTTATTCCTTGTTACACTAGGAATTCTTCCTCATACAACTTCATTTCGTGTTCATGCTCCTAGAGACCATCTTGGGTTCGAAAATCCTTACAAGATAGCAAGCTAGGCCGGAAACCTACTCCATTTTCCTCTTCAAAACCGATCAAACCCCAAGGTGAGCTTCATATCCCCTATTTTCGAGTTTTTCTTTCTTTTGGGGGAGGATACAAGTCAAGGTCTTGTTAAATCTTTGTATAATTGCTTGTATGGTATGTTTTACATGTTATGTGTGTGTTAAAATGTTGTGATATTATACTACAAGCTCCATAAAATTCGAGATTCATACAAGTCTTGAAGTTGTTGGAATAAGTTGCCTTATGTAACTTCTCATGTTTGGTTAACAAGGTTAAGTATGTTTAAGAACTCACTATGAAACTAAAGAAAATATAAAAAGGGACCATATTTGACAATAGAGTGAAAATGTGCCTTTAATCACATTTTCGACATCAATGGGCCAAAACGGTCATTTTTGATATAAATGGGCCTTTTTATGTCATTTTCGGTATGAACCATTTATGATACTTCTAAAATAAAATGGGCCAAAAATGAAACATATAACAAGTTTGGGCCAAATATGACATTTTTACTTAAAATGGGCTGAAAACGAACTATTTAGCAAACATGGGCCATTTTTGAACACTTTTATAAAAATGGGCCTTAAATGAGTATTGTAGTAGAAATGAGCCGTTTTCAACAATTATGACAATATTGGGCAATTTTCGACCACTTATGGTAATTATGGGCCATTATTGACCTTTTGGGCCACTTATGGCATTTTGGATAACTATGAGCCTTAATTGATATTTTATATAAAGTTGGCTCATTTTTGTCATTTTCAGTAATAATGAACCATCTTTGACGATATGATTAAAAATAGGTTATCCTCGGCATACGTGATAAAAACGAAATATCTTGGCAACATACACAATTAATGTTATTTATAATATTAAACAACGGGATCAACTATTAGCGTAAATTTCTGTTAGGATTCTAGTGAGACGCACCTTCACCGTACCTATTTTAGCGTACACCGAAAGTCCTGTAGTAGTTATAACCAGAGTCTCCTGGAGGGAGAGCGGAAATTTGTGTATAGATCTATACGGGGTTGACACCCCACACCTGAGCTGTTCGCTACAGTTAGACAAGCCAGTCTAGGGTGACAAATGTCGTCTCCGAAACCGACGCCTGAAGAACATCAAGACAGGCACTCCGTCATATTAGTATGGTTATAACGACTCACTTAGAATATAATTATATTATTTAAAATTTACGCGAGACACACATTTAAATTGTAACCAACTACGGGTTGAATACCTTAAACACAATTTCACCACGCAGGTTGGTGGTTGTCGAGGCCAACAAAATTAATAACCCTAAATCTTTTACACTAAAATAGTGTATAGTGGTAAAGGGATCGTATCCACGGAGATTGATTCAATTTTATAACTCTATGATAATCTTGTTGCACAAATACTTGTAAAACCAAAATAAAATAAAATTGGGGGATTTTGATCTTTTGAGATGTTTAAAAGAAAACTAGAATTACATTAAGATTTAAAAACACAATTCAACAAAAGAAAAGTTTGACGTAAAATCAATAAGAGAAAGATGGTTGACTTTGGACATTCATCACTTGAACATTTGGTTAAATAATCATGAGAATACCAAGGTGCAATACTTGTGTTTATAATCTAACTTGACTATAGCAATTTATAAGCATAACTTGCCTCAACTCTTCTTTTGTATATTAAAATGACTAGAGAAGCTCATAGCACATTTCCTAAATCAAAGTCACAAAACTAATGAAGCATGCAATTTTGTGAAAATCAATTAGCATTAGGTTTTAAGAGTCACCAAATCCAAAGAGTAATCTATTGCTTTCATTACCACTATGGAGAAAATATTTTCTTAGTCTAAATGAAATGAAAACAAACATTTAAACTAATTATTGTTTGTTAAATTGAAGACCCATTACTTAGCCAAGAATTTAACCAACAAAAATAACATTCACATATCAATATTCATGACTAGAGATATATAAACATGAAGGAATTTTTCATAAAAAATATAATCATAGATATTCAACACAAGTTCATGGAGTTCTTCAAAATAACCAAATCATTCAATAAATTACATCCAAGTCAACCAAAATAAGTTTAGCCTAGCATGGCTAAACTCAAGAAACTAAAATAAAAATAGATAGTACCAAACATGTAGCAAGATTTAAGAGTGAAAAGATGATGTTCTTCACAATGTTCTTGGTGTTCTTCTAGCTCTAAACTCCAGAGAAAAGTCAAAAAAATCGGATCTAAAGGTCTCCCAAAAGTGAACCACCAACCATCCCAAAATAGAGGCAAAAGAACAAAACCCGGTTTTTTCACTACATGCTGCACGCGGACGACTGGCGAGTACACGCAGACCATTTATAGGACACGCGGACAAGTTCTGGAGCACACGCGGACCGCGTGAATTCTGTTGAGTGGTCCATTTGGCCCATTTGATTGGCACACCAACCCAATCTTCTCATTAATGTTTCAGCCCATATGCACAAACTCTTGAGAGCCCAATTATGCCTTCCAAAGCCTTCAAATATGCTCCAATGCTCCTTTAATCTTCCATAGGTCGAGTACACGTCGCCTCGTCATCATTCTCACCCAAAAATTAAGTCTAACTCGATTTCTTGTTTATGCTGACACCAAGTTCAATCGCACCACTTCAAGTCCACAAGCAAACCGCAAGCCTCCAAAAGTCCCACACTCCTTCCATATATCCAATGACAAATAGTCTTCGGTAAATCCTGCAATTAAGCTCAAAAGACTGGAAAGCACCCGATAAAGGAGAAAAATAACAAAAATAGAAAATATGCATGAGGATTAACTAAAATGAGATGATTTTAACTAAAAAGAAACTATGAAAAGAAGTGATAAAAACGAAACTATCAAACCACCCCAAGCTTGACCAGTTTTGCCCACCTTCTAAAATAGCCAAGTTGAAGAAAGCTATAGCCAACTTTGAACAACAACCCGGAGAGTCCCTTTATGAGGCGTGGGAGAGGTACAAAAGTCTACTAAGGAATTGCCCACACCATGACCTTAATAGCCAACAAGAAGTCTCCATCTTCTATGATGGAGTCAATGTTACAACTCGACAGCTCCTTGACTCGCAAGGACCCTTCACAAAGAAGGCACCCCCGGTGATAAAGGAATTGATTGAGGAGTTCTATAAACATTCTAGAGAATATCACAACCCACGAAATGAAGTAAGTAGGGGGTAGTGAACACGGTTAACGATGGCATGGCGGCAATGATGGCTAAACTAGATAGTTTAGATAGGAGGATGACAAAGATGGATCAAACAATCCATGCTATTCGGGTGGGTTGTGAAAATTGCAATGGACCTCACCTTACGAGAGATTGCGACTTGGACGAGAATGGAAACAAAAAGGCGCAAGTATGCTATTCAAGCGGTGATAGGTTTGATTATGATTGGCGGAAACCGAAGAAAGAATGGCTACCCTATGATGAATACAAGAAGGCAAAGGAGGAGAAGTTTAGACAACAAGCAAGGGGTATATACCAAAAAGAGGAACCAATGTAAGACACGAAACCCAACTTGGAAGAGATGCTAACAAAATTTGTAGCTGCTTCTGAGAAAAGACACAATGATCACGATGCTGCAATA